AAACTTGTTTTGAACAGATTTAAATTATAAAATTATTTTATAATTAAAGAGACAAAGTACATACATAATATATTTCTCAATGACACACTTATCAATGACAGTGGTAGTCAATACAATATTCATGATAAGAAATATTTATAAAATACAGCGTCACATAAAGAGCAACGTTATTTCTTGCTACAGGTCAAATTATGAAAATCAATTAATAACGTAATCAACGACTATGCAACATTTTTACAGTAATAACTGAAAAATCGCATTTTTCGAATCGTGTTACTCTGTTTGCTAGGCTGTCAAACGTGGAACAGAAAAAAATTATTTAGAATCACGTTCCAGACGACATATTTAAAAATGACGTATGTAAAATAACTGAAAAATTCAATATGCTCTTTTCCTTTAATCTCCGATCAAAAGATCGTTTATAAGTGTATTTCCATTATATTTCTTTTTAAATTATAAAATAATAAATTGAATAAGAAAATGTTATTCGACAAATAAAAAAATAGAAAATAATAAAAATTATGAAACTGACGAAAAAAAGTAATATCATTGCATCGAGTTTTATGATTTGATCTTATTATTCGATTGGTATACGTCCTCGTACCACCTGTTGCCCGTTCTATTGAACATGAATGTGCAGCAGACACGTTTGCTAGAGGCACCACGAGTCTTGGGTCGAGGAGTGAACGTGAAGGACCCCGAGAAAGCCACTTTGAAGCGGGCACCATCGCTCGATCGTCTAGTTCGGAGGAACAAGGAGAGGAGATACTGTGGAAAAGAAATGAATATGAGGACGGAGAAAGGATCTCGAGAGGAAGGAGACGAACGAGCCGCCCCCAGCAGAGCACGCAACCTCCGTGGATCGCTCTGTCCCACGTCTGACTATGCTTTACTCCGATCGAGTTCTTTTCTCTAATTTTTCATCCAGTCTTTAAATTATAATATCGATCTTTGAGTTTGAAATTACAACGAAGAAAAGTTATGTATATTTCGAACAAACCATTAGATTCAACATTATTCAACCATAAATTCACCAAAGATTCATCATTATTTGTAAACAAATTTTATCTTAAACAAAGTTGACTGTAATTAGAAAGAAATAAAATTGAAGATATCCTGTTGGTAAATATGTATCGAGCAACTATATGGAATAGAAATTATTAAAAAGTTTCTGGCTGATTCGATCATCGTCGAATAAACGTCCTGGCTCCTTAAATCAATTATTTTATGAGCATTTCGAGTCCCGCATCGTTTCGTTGCTTTATTCGGAGGGGGGGAAAAGGAGACGCAAGTGGAACAAGAAGGAAAGAAAAAAATGAATAAAAAAGAAGGAAACGCGAAGGAAAAAAAGTGAAGAAGC